ACAAATAGGTTGAAAAGCAACTTTATATAATAAATATGCATCATAAATGATAGAAATAACAGTTGTCTATTATTTGTTAACATTTTCTTGTTTGTTATCTGGGTCAGTTGGAATTAGTAACTTAATCCCTTGTAAAACTCTATTAGAGAGAGATTTTTGTAAAGGAGATTCCTTCACCCTGTGATGCTTTCTGTGCCATCCAATACATACAGAGTGAAACACCTTTATTAGGTTCAGAAACAGACATCATCCATGGAGCACCCAGACTCAACACAGATTATAGAGAGGAGAGGAGAGGCAAAGGCAGATGTAGGAAGAAAGAAGTACAGAATTTAAAGCTGGGGCTGCCCAAGGTAAAATTACTCCAAGGGAAAGTACTTATGACTTATTTTCCTTAATGCAACACTGGTGGATTTGAGGTACTCTAAGGTTATTACTAATTCGTTTAAACCAATGAATGTGAGGAAAGTTATTGTTATTAATAGAATATAAAACATCAGGAACATGTCATATTTTAGAAAAACACTATAATTCTATAAAAAAACTAGTTGCTTATATTGTCTTTACTATATGAAATATGGTTGTACACATATATATGTAAACAAAAACATACATATACAGTGAATAAGCAATATGATCTGTATTTAAAATGAGTAAAATCTTATGTATTGACTGAGAAGACCTTTTTGTCTTTCTTCCTGACAAAGATTCTGGATTACAGTGGCTGCTGACTGTCTCAGTGGTTCTGGAATGCCTTCAAGAACTTGTCTTGCATTGACATGTGCTATTTACTTCCACTATCTTTATAGTGTTTTGTATATATTGTATAGGTTTATATAGTATACTTTAAACTATATCGATTTTATAGTATACTTTTGAGATTGTACCTTATAATACATCTTATTATCTCATCTTTGCTCCTTTGTGGTCATGCCATAGCTGGACTGCAATAAGTCAAAGCAACACTTCAGTGTTCAGGGTACAAGGAAAATGGATGAATATAGCTGAACTTATCTGCCTTCACTTCTTTAAGGGAAAGTAATATTTCCCAGAAACTCACATTACATTCTTCAGAATACAATTCCATGGTAATCCATGGAGGTTTAGGAAAGGAGCTAGTATCCATTCCATGCTAGCACCTATGGTGGAATAAATAAATTGAATAATGTTTCTGATTAGTGATTGAAAAGTGATTCAATAACTACCACCTTCTTTAATACAGAAAAAAAGTCATTGCAAGGGAAAGTCATGGATAATATAAGCCTTGATGGGCAGATCACTTTAGGAATCACAAATACAGGCTGGAAAAATAAAACATTATTCTCCATAAAGATATTGGTTGGGGAAAGCTAATATAAAGGTAAATAGATGGCCTTTTGTTGAAGCAACAGCCTTGTAGGTGAATTTAAAAATTTGGCAGAAACCAGAAAGCAGGTTTCCTTAAAGATGAACTGAGGGAGGGCTATGATCAGAGGGTACAGAATGAGGTTCTTCCTTTTTGTAGTCATGAACACATTGTATCTTTAGATATACCTTATAGCTAATGTGCTATTTTTTGTGAGTGTCAGACATGTAGGTGTCAGCTAAAAAAACTGGCTTATGTCAAGTGAAATCAAGTAACTGCTAGTAGTCACTTAGGTGAGAACAAAAGCAAGAGTGAGTTAGGTGGTACATTGTATGCAAAGAATGGCAGTCATGTTTTTATTCTTTATTTTTTCAACTTTGTCAGGAGGTGCTTTAATAAATTAGACCAACATATCTCATGTAAGCCAACACCAGAATTTAAAGTTTTGCTGTTTTTAAGCAAGTTTTTATACTGGAAATTGACAGTCTATGGAAGATTGGACACTTGATCAGGCCTAACATCTCTTTGCCTTTCTTTCTGGTCAGTCAGTCTAATTGCATATAGCTCATCAGTCTCAAAATGATAAGCACAGCACAGGGGCCTCCCTCTATACACTGGTCTCAGCAATCTCCTAATACCTGGGGCTCCACTTAAACATGAGTCACACTGTGGTCACAATGGCAGGAATAGAATTCCCCACTCAATAGCATATAGAGAAAGTGACCCTCATATGAATTTCATATGATGACAGGCATAGCACTGAAGAGAAACAATATATGCTGATTAGAGAGACAAAAGATCACATGAAACTTATGAGAAAGATTGATATGAGATTCTGTATGATGTAAATATGTGTTGATAATATAGCAGTTTAGCCAATGATGCAGCAGAATAAGGTTAGCCAGTACAATCAAACTGAAAATGGAGATGAAGGAGGGCAGAGTCGGGGCAGAAGTCAGTCAGCCACCCAAGGAGCAAGGTGCCAGGAAACCAGTAAGCCACAGGGTACATGGCAATACATACATTAATAGAAAGAGGTTAATTTAGATGTAAGAGCTAGCTAGTAATAAATCTGAGCCATTAGCCATACATTTATAGTTAATATAAGCCGGGTGGTAATTTGGAAAGTGACTGCTATAGGTATAATTGGGCGTAAGGTAAGAAAGTTCCACCTTCCTTTACAAAAGATCTTTTAGATTTGCCGGTTACTTGCCTGCATGCATTTCACATATCCTTTGTTCTAAAATGGGATTAGTAAAGCTAAGGACATATGAGTAGGGAGTAAATGTGCTCATTCCCAAGTTATCATGCAAAAGTCACCATTCTTCTTTTATTTAGTGTGCTACTTCATAGTTCAAAAAAGTTCTGGTTATTTTCCTCACCTAAGACTGAGAGTTATTTTTTTTAATATTTTTAATTGAAATTGAATAACATCAATCCCCCTTCCTTTTCCTCCCTCTATCTCCTCTCAGTTATCCTCCCTCAAACTCCACCTGTGGCCTCCACTCTCCAGTTGTTAGCCTCTTTTTCTCTGATTTAGTTTGTTACACAGACACACATACTCAGATATATAAACACATGTATAAATAGAAGCTGCTGAGTCCATTTGTTGTCTGTGTGTGTGGGATTTCAAGACTGATTGCTATGTAGGAGAAACTAATTCTCCTTATACCAGCAGCCAATAGTTCCTTTAGTTATTTTTTCATCTAGGGGTGAAACCCCATGAAATTTTCCCCATTCCATTTTAACATGTCTGGTCTGGTCTTGTTTATGCAGTCATTTCTAGGAGAGGCTGTTTCACAAGAAGACTTTTTGATATTTTGGCTTTTATCATCTTTCTTTTTCCTCTTTCATTATGTTTTGTATGGCATAGATGCAGGAGCTATGATGTAGATGTATCCTTTGGGCCTAACTTATTAATCTCTGTGTTGTATACAATTGTGGTTTAATCCAATGGTCCCCATTCGCTGTAAAGAGATGCTTCTTTGATGAAGAGTGTTAGTTACATCTGTGGGTATAAAAATAAAATATAGACTGTATTGAGAAATTATGATGATCTAGAAAAGTAGTGATAATAGATCCTCTCTTAAGATCTATGACCTCACTAGCCCCAGAAGGGTGGCTAAATTTCTAATACCAGGCTTAATTTCCTTTTTGTTAAGTGAGCTGTGAATCCAATTAGTTGTTTGCTATAGACAAGTCAGTTTCCCTTCTAGTCCCTTTATACATGTCTTGTCATGCAGATCATTATTATGGTTCATAGGTGATACAGCTGGGTAGGCCTGTTTAATTGCTTCCATCCTTGTCACCTTGCATGATATTTTCTGGAACAATGAATGCTACATCATAAGGAAAAAGCTTTCATGTTAGACTCAGCTTATTCATTGGAGTCACGTGTCTAATGTGTATGGCATCTTCAGCAATAGAGACCCTTCAACTCCTGAGAAGCAACCAAATGGTACCTGGATAATTTATATTGTTTTGGGAATCACTTGTACTATCCTGATGAACTCTTCAAAAAGAGGTTTCTTTTTGCTGGTACTCAAGTTTTTGTTAGTCTATGGTTCTTGTGGGGAATATTATCAATCTAGGAGGTTTAATTGTTTTTAAGCTATATGTGTGTGGTATATAATTTTAAGTAATTACAAAATAATATGATTTATTGAAGCCTTAAACTGCCCTGATGTCATTTGTCCTTCCTCCTTATGTATTGACCTGACTCCCTTTTCCCCAGTAGAAATGCTGTTATTCTGTTTCCCACTTCATTTTCACCAAACATGTAACTTCTTATGACATTATCTAGTACCCATTGTGACAGCACTATGCTTAGGTACCATATACATTAGGGCAGCTTCTCTGTTTCAGTTCCTCTATAGGTGCTTGGTACTTTTATCCTAAGATTTAAGATTATTTATTACATGTTTGGAAACTATATAAAATAACCTTCAGCATAACTGTCTATTTTCCCTGCATATCTGCATTCTTGATGTTTGTGAAAGCAGTAAAGATGAGTACTCTAAAGGTGAATTCTTAACAGGTTGTTTGGAAGGTTACAGCGTACTTTTAGGCTATTGATCAAACTCTTATGCTTCAGTGTGAGTCTGAATGCATATGCATGAGTATGTGCATGGGTGTTTATGGGAGTGAGTGTGTAAGTGTGCATGAGAAAGATTTTGTAAGTGATTGTGTGTGAGTATATGAGTATAGAAGCATAGGTGAATGTTTTATGAGTTTGTATGAGTGGATATATGTGAGTATATGTAAGTGTAAATATGTATATGAGTGTTGTGAGTATATATTTGTATATTATGAATGTATATTGATGAGAATGTGTATATGTGTGTGTATAGTAATCATGAAGGTGATAATTAAAACAGATACTACTAAAATTTTCCCAAACCAAGAAAAATAAGACATATGAAAGTTCAAATATCACATTAATCCATGTGCATATGTTTATTGTTATATCTTACATGTGTAAAAGAAGCCTTTGTATTTTTATGTAGACCTGGATGTTTTCATGTCTTTTTACCATAAGAAATCACTGGAAGAACACTGAGCTCAACTATGGGCTCTTAAAGTAAAAAACTAAAAGCAACAACAACAACAAAATCAAATCATTTTTCTGTTCTTTTCTTTACTTGGGAAAAAGCAGAGGGTTAACAGAAGCAATAGCATGGACAGCATATCAGAAAGCCCTGATGCAATTCACGTCCAGGTAAATTTGTGTCTGGAGTAATATTTTCTCTGTGTCCTAACAAGTCTTACTCTGTACCATAGAAGTTGATTTCTGCAGCAGAAAAACTCTACAGAGAACCATGGTTGCAGAGGACAACTAACTGTGGCCCCAACTCCAATTGGTAAATCTACAATACAGTATCTGCTTGTAAGTCTCAGGCTACATCTTGAAAAAGTAGATAGAAGGATTTGTAAGAGCCAGAAGGAGAGGAAGTTTTCCATGAGATTGTACTCCCTCTTATGATATAAAAGCTACACTCATAAAATCTTAACAACATTGCTTCCTAAACAAGACCCAAATAATGATACCAATTAATATTAATGTAATCTTACAGAACCCCAAGTCTAGATGTACTACAGACAATTAATGACTATTGAGAGAGAGAATTAGTTTTCCCAAGAAATGAACCTCCTTAAATCATATGCATATAAACAGTGCTAAAGACACTCAATATGTTTGTTGTTGCTGCTGCTGAGTGTTTCTATATGTGTTTAACAATGTGTTTAATAATAATAATAAAAAGAAGATCATGACTCATGAGGTAGATGAAATGAGATAAAGGAAGGGGAAGTGATGCTACTATATTTTCATTAAAGAAATATTGGCCATACATGCTTGTGAAATTTGAAACAATCTTTATCTTCAATGATCATCTTAGTAATGTTCATAAATAAATACTCCTTATAGATCAGGTCCATCTTATCCACCTAAATACCATGCCGATCCATTCATCAGCCTCATTTTTTTGTGAATTTTTACAAAGTTTGAAAATGCAAAGGTGAGTGAATTAGAATCCATTCAACAATTTCTTTCTTTGGAACCTCTGTGCACGCAGCATTTAATATAGCTGTGGTTTATTGTGCTTTCACTGTGGGAAGCTGCAGTATGGTTACCTTTACCTCTGTGGATTAATAGCTTTATCCATTTGGTAAGTTATCAGCAACATCATGTCTTTCCACTACTTTTCATTTTCCTGTAGGATCTCAATTATATGTATTCTGAAAGAATTTGCTAGTTTGGGTGTTTATACTTAAAGCTTGAATTAATTTTTATCTGTTTTTTGCATATAAAAGGGATGATCCAAATTAATTCTCCAGATTTCGATATACATGAATGAACTCAGAAACTTCCTGAGGACATATGCTTCATAGATTTTAGGAGGTGTGCTAGACAATTTTCCATTCATCTGCATGCCCAGTTTATATCCAGTGGCTTTGATAATGTTTTGTAGTGAAGTTGAAATCAGTGCCTGGGATTCTGGAAATGTGAAATGAAGAGCAATTTCACCTATAATATCAGCAATAATTAAAGGATACCTTATCAAAAAGAAAAAAAAAACAACAACAATAAAATGAAAGCTGCCAAACATCACTGGAAGAACTCAAAGAGGATGTAAATAAATTCTCTTTTCATATTACTTGTATGGTTGGTGTCATTTTAGAGTCCATGTAAATTCAAGGACACTTTCTTTTTTGTTATTTTTCAGTGGAGAGGAACACAGCCAGGCTTTGCTCTAGGACTTGTTAAATCCAGCCTGAGATTTTCTCTATTTTTTCCAAAAGAAAAAAAAAAGTATATAATAAAATTTCATTGAATTAATATATTTATTGTAAAGATACTGATCCTGAAATAGGAAGTAATAAAAGTCAACTACTAAAAAATGCTGTCATATTTCTTTACATTTTCATTAACTTGTTTTGATGACATTGAATAGCTATGTTTTATGTTTTCTTTATGTTTTATTATACTAAGTACTTTATTTTCATTTATGATATTATAGTGGAATCATTTTTAAATAACCTTTCCAGATTGTCTTAGTCCCTATTATAGTGGAGTTTCAATCTTTCACTATTGAGGATGATGTTTTATTATAATTTTAACAATTATCAGTTTATTGGTTATAATGGTCCTTTTTCTCACTATTCTTTTGGGTACATTTATCATAACTAGATGTTAAATCTGAACAAATATATTTTATGTTTCAATTGGGTTAAAATATATGTGCTCTGTGGATGTTCATGTGTATATGTGTGCATTTTGCGAGCATATGGGGTGTGTGTGTGTGTGTGTGTGTGTGTGTGTGTGTGTGTGT